TGGAATGGATATGAGCAACACATCTCGAAGAACAACAGTTACAACGGTGAGTAACCGTCTTTTCTTAGAAGTATGGGCTGGATGAATGGACTGTAAGGTGGATAGAAAGCTGGCTAGATCATCGGGCTCAGCGGGTAGTGATCAATGGCTCCATGTCTAGTTGGCAGCCGGTATCAAGTGGAGTGCCCCAAGGGTCGGTCCTGAGGCCGGTTTTGTTCAATATCTTCATTAATGATCTGGAGGATGGCGTGGACTGCACTCTCAGCAAGTTTGCAGATGACACTAAACTGGGAGGAGTGGTAGATACGCTGGAGGGTAGGGATAGGATACAGAGGGACGGAGACAAATTAGAGGATTGGGCCAAAAGAAACCTGATGAGGTTCAACAAGGACAAGTGCAGAGTCCTGCACTTAGGACGGAAGAATCCCATGCACTGCTACAGACTAGGGACCGAATGGCTAGGTAGCAGTTCTGCAGAAAAGGACCTAGGGGTCACAGTGGACGAGAAGCTGGATATGAGTCAACAATGTGCTCTTGTTGCCAAGAAGGCTAACGGCATATTGGGCTGCATTAGTAGGAGCATTGCCAGCTGACACACATACGGGGCGCAGGGCGGGGGCGGGGGGGGGCAGGGCTGTGACACACATGGGGCCCGGGGCGGGGGCGGGAGGGGGGCAGGGCTGTGACACACACGGGGCACCAGTGCAGGGACTATACAGGGACTGGGCCCGTCCCACACAGACCCCGCGCTAGGCACTTGGCTCAGCAGGGCTGGACCCCGGGGGAGCCGCACACAGGCACGATGGGGCCTTTAGCCGGGTGCTGGGGTTGGGGCTGCCCAGAGTGGAGGCGGTGGCAGCCGGAGGGTCCAGCTCCCCGGTGAGTCTCTAGCGGGTTGGCTCGGTGCGGTTACAGGGCCAGGGGGATCCCACCCGGGTACAGCAGCTGGCACTGATGGGAGCAGACCCAGCACGCAGGGGGCAGAGCTGGGGGGGAGACATGAGCGGGTCTTACGAAGGCACCTGGGGGATTCAGGGGCCCCGGCTCCTCCCCGCGTTTATCTGAAAGGCAAAGAGCGTCAGTTACCAGGAGCCCAGGGCCCGACGCGAGGCTGGCAGGGATCAGGGCCACTCCCCAGCACCCCCAGGGAGTCTCCCATTGATGCAGGGGGTGCTGGGTGGGGAGGGCTGTAGCTGCCGTGGGGGTGGCGGTACAGCGAGGGGTGGGGGGG